CCCCGTCATCCCGGGCACAGGGACAACGGCTCCGCCTTCCTCCAGGAATCACCTCCACACACCCGGCAGGAACCACCAAACCCGGCACGTTCCTTTCCTCGAAGCACAACTCATTCCCCCAGTGCTGTTCCACGTGCCGCACATCTGAGTCACCCTCTGCTCCCGAGATGTTTATGCACTTCAGTGAGACACAGGGATGGACCCAGTGGCATTTTCACCTCTTTTATTATACACAAAGCATGAGCAGGGGGTTCTACTGCGGGGGCTGCCCACGGCCACGGCCGAATCCACCTCTCTGCAACAGGAAAGGAAGAGTGTTAGAGATCACTGTGTCAGGAAGGGACAGCAGCAAACACAGAGCAAAGAACAAACACCACCGTCAAAGCTCTGTCCTCAGCTCAGCGTTACTTTGTTAACAACCTAAAACCGACCTGTTTGACATTCACTAGCCGGCACAGGTTAACCAGGTGATTGATACCAATACCAACCCACCCCAGCCAGTTCTATAACTCTTATTTCAGAAGTATAGTCATGGATCTCCAGAGAGCTCAGCTTGCTCTCAGACCTACTTGGCCTCTGTCCCAGCATGGAGGCCACCACGTCCTCTACTCACAGAGAGAGAGCTGGGTGTGAAGGGTGACAGCTTCCAGCCTCTCTTACACCCTCAGAGCCCCGCAGTGAGGAGCACACCCGTAGGACCTTCCAGCTCCTCCCATCAAAGCCTCAACAAAGGAAGCAAGTCCCAAATGCAAACACTCACGAACTGGAATTCGGTGGCTGCTCCAGCACCAGCCTCAGCCTTCTTGTCAGCACCAGCTGCAAAGAGAGGAGCAGTCAGCGCTCACAGAACGCCCTGCCCAGGGCAGTGCTCCTGCCTGGGACCACCTGGGGTGGAGCTGGGGCTGCACCCAGTGCAGGATGAGGGGGCACTCACGTGGCACGGCGCTGCGCCGGTACGTGTCCCGGTCAGCCTCGCCCCGCGTCAGCCGCGCCGGCCGCTCGCCCTCCAGACCTGCAACAGCAACACCCCCCATCACTGCCCTGCCAGGCCTCAAACAGCCCCTTCGGGGGCACCTGTGCCCCAGGGTGCAGACCAGCCTTGGATCTGCCAGCAGTGCCACCCTGGAGCAGCTCAGCGAGGATAAACCTAAGGAAAACAGGGATTTAACATGGAAAACTTCACTTTGAGGGGGGAAAAAGTGCCCCAGCTTGTGATCGGGTGCAAGTTAAATATTATGTGAGAAATGGCTTTACAGCATCGTCTCAACAGTCTTCTGGCTGTCAAACAAGAGCCAAACATTATAGATGATAAAAGCCCCACAAATTCCGGGAATCTGCCATGTCCAGCAAGCCTGCCCACAGTGACAAAGTGCACATCACTCTGAAACAGCCACACTGTCAGTACTCAAATCCCCCCGATGGAACAGGTTCAGAACACCAAGAGCAGGTTAGCCCTGGAACCTCAGGTTATACCACACAGAGGACCAGCTGTGTGGGACCCACCAGCCCCTGTGCTGCTCTCAGGGGCCGGGCAGGACCCACGCAGGGGCAGCTGTACCTCCTCAGTGTCCTCCTGCACAGCCACAGGCAGAGTCAGTTCTTATAACTCTTTTATTACAAAGAGGAACACTCCCTGCTGAGGATGAATTTCTCCTGCAGATGTTTCCCTGTCCTCCCTTCCTGCCAGATCAAACCCCTACAGCACATACCCCACCCATGGATAGATCGTTTTAAACTTCATTTCTGTCCATCCTTAACACCCAAACGTTCAGTGACACCTAAGACAGAGACACAAATCCCAAAGATCAGCCCCCAGTTCTCTGGAACCTGCTCCAGCCCATTATTCCAGCATTTGCTCCAGGCCTTGCTGGAGAGCTGGCAGCAAACCAAAGAAGGCTCCAACTCCCCAAGAGCTCAGGCCAGAGCCCTGAGCTTCATCCTGCACCCCCATCCACACACAGCTCTGTGGCTCCCAGGCTGCTGCAGCCCCAGGCAGCTGATCCACAGGGAAGCAGAGCACAGGCACAGCTCTCCCAGGAATCCCTGCCTGGTGGGGCTGAGCGAGGGCTCCAGCAGGGCTGCAGCTCCTTCAGCTCCCTGGATAAACACAGCACCTAAGGAACAAACCTGGGAACATCCAGAGCAGCTTGAGATCAAAGGAGCCATCACCTTCCCAGCGTCAGTGCAATCATCACCCCCTTTGAGGCGGGTGATGCTCCTGCTTTGCTGGGCTGAGACAAGAGCTGCAGGAGCTGGAGGAGAGCT